AAAACATGGAGGAGTGGAAGAGAGCAAAGGGTTTGAGCCAGATGACCTTCCCCACAACAAGAAACGTAGGGCTAGGGAAGAACTGCCCAGAGATTCTTCTTGTCAAAATGAGGATCAGAGTGATGGTAGCGAAAACAAGGAGGATACTGATGAAAGTACTTTTAAACGAACTCGAGTACTAGGTAATAGCCTTGGTAGACGGGTGCAGTTTTCTTCTGTTGCTGTTTTTCTGTTTTTGATCCGAAGGATTGTTTAGCCTGCCGCATGCTGCCCCCTCACGGGGTCCCAGTTCATGGTAGATAGAAGTGTTTTGTGTTTTCAAACGCACTAAGACTGACGTCTTTTCATTGGTCAGCCGGTTAGCGCGGTCGATGCTAATAAAAAAGACACACACACACACACACACACACATTCAAAAAACGATCGGACCCGGTGCCATCTCTCCACCTTTTACGGTAACCTAAATAACTTCTCGGCCTGTACAACCACTCGCACGAAACAGCTCCTGCTTGATTGACAAGGTCTTTACCTCGAGCCCTAGAAACCTACGATCCCGTATGCGAGAAGATTTAGCGACAAATGAAGAGCATGACCCCCATCTCAAAACGTTGGGGTGGGAGCCATTGAGTGGAAAGCCTTCAGGCGTCTCCTACGCCACAAGATGCGCGCGCACGATGTGCGCGGTGTGTGGAAAGCACTGAAAAATGTAAGTGTGGACCGTGATAGAAAAACCCATGTACGTCCGAATTCAAAACGCCATCCTTGGTTTTCGGGACCTCGGTATTATGGTGTTTGGTCATACCTCTAGAGAACTGCGGGAACCCTGTTAACATTTACGTTTTCATCAAGGCAAGGTTGTGTCAGGTTCGGCGCTTTGTTCGTGTGGGAAGCTTTCTTCAGGCCACGTTAAGTCTGTCCCCATGTGTCGAGACAACGCCTTGTTTGTTGTCGGAAAACAGACATTGCCTCGCAAGGCATGTCTGGTTCAATCACCGCGCGATTTTTGCATGCGTAACGATGAGAAAAACTTAGGAATCGACCGGAAACATGCAAAGCGCTCCATACCTCAGGGTGTTGAAGCTTTCAGGTCTCAGTTATCGAAGAGCGTATCCACCCAAGTCTTCAGTCTCCAGCAAAACCGAGACCGAGGAGGGCGTGAAAACGCAGCTAAGGCCGATCGTATCCAGTGCCTCCAGTGGCTTCAGGCGTGCATCACTGTTCAGGTCACGGAAATCCCCGGCGACATTACCCGCACAAACCGCCCTTGTATCAGCCAGCGCCCTCTGTCCCCAAATCTCTAGGGTAGATGCAGCAGGATTTACACGACACCCCATATCACGGACGAGATCACCATCCGGCCCAAGCGCGACCCCGAGCCCCTCCTTCCCACACCATGCACTATACTAGGAGTAGCAACTGTGTCGCCCTGGCACTCTAACCCCATTTCCATTGTTGTCCATGCAAGCATCACACACGCACGGAATGTTGACAAGTCCATCCCCTCCAAACAGTAAAACACTCTCCTTCGGCACTTCAAATGCAAACGTCACACACACGAATTGTTGGCATGGTCATTCCCCCGGAAGAATAAGTACCGAAGATGAAAAATACCGAGGTTTCACTACGCTATAAGGACTGTCGTGGGCATACAGTTAAGACGATTGACGACTCGATGTTTGCGGTGCACCAACCCGGTGAATATTTTACCATCAGAGGGGGCCCGGGGGAAACACGCCACACGTACGTACGCTTGTTAGCGCCTTCCCAAGTAAATCGATAAATTGACGAGTTTGGCGTGTGGAGCGACGACAGAGGTTAAAACAAAACTGGTCCCGAAAAAACATTGGTTATCATAACAAACACAACTGTGTTTGTTTATACTATTCTGTTTATATTCTGGAGTACTGGAACAAGATCTAACCTAGTCGCATCACGTTCTCCGTATACGTTTCAACTCTGTTTTTGGTATACAATGATGCTACGGTCTCTCTATTGTGTTGTTGCTGGATGCCAAATGACACAGCCCTGGGGCAAGGATTTAACGAAAAATAATGACACTTCTAGACCTCTGTACAAGCCCGGGCAAACCCAGGATGAGCTTAGCTACCACACAGGCAGATCACATTATCCGACCTTACGCCCGTGGGCGGTATTGCTGACACGTATCACCATTGAACTCTGGAACTCCCCCCTTACACGACCAGGTCAACATCTACAAAACACCGTCGAAGGCATAAAAAACACAGAGACGTAAAGCGGAATGCTCATGGGGGACACCTGGGCGCTCCGTATCCCGCCCACCCGCGTCTCGCCCTAAGAAGTTCCGATTCTTCCGCAAATGAATCACGTCATCGCGGCTGCTCCCTGGCCATTCGGCCAGAGCAACTAGACAGACCCGCTTTTCCCCTAGAAAGAGTCGCTCGCTTTCCTCACAACACAAAACACGCCATGATCAGAGAGAGAGAACCACGACCAAAAACAAGAGAGACAAAACCAGGGCATGTGCACGAACCCCCCGATCTCACGTCCCGACCCTAACCCACCCATCCGCACACCCGAGAAGCGAGAGTCTGCGGAGCGGCAGCACCGCGATCGACCGCACCACAAGCCCGCCCGCCCCCGACGCCGACCGTCTCCCGCCGCCACTGCCGACGCCGCCCTTCTTGCCCTTCACCGTCTTCCCCGCCGGGCCCAAAAATCTCGCCGGGTGCAATCCTTCCTCCCGCCCCCTTGCGTCTGGTTCTAGACGCACGACGCTGGCGACCATCCTATCGCCGGACGCGGCAAACAACACGGGCAGCTTCTCTCTCTGCAATCTCGCTTCCGCGCCGCCGCCCGCTCTCCCCGACGCCGAAAAACTTTCTCCGAACAGGGAAATTCCAGCTCCTGCCAGCCTGTTGATGGGCGGGGTGGGGGGAGGAGACAGAGGGAGCATGAGGACGGTGGCCGGGGACAGCCCGGGCGCGGCGTCCGGCAATCCGAACGCGGTGGAAACTCGCACCGGGGATGCTTCCCCGTAGCCCCCCTCTCCGCCTCCGGTGAGCCCCGAACCTTGTCCACCGCTGCTGTAGGCCCCCACCCCCCACGACGGGTGGCGCAGCAATGCAGGACCCGTGCCGGTTGAATCGATCCCCGAGCCCTCCCCTGGGGAGCGGCTCAGGTCCCAGAGGACAGCTGTCCGGTCGCGTGACATTGTCAGCACGAGATGCCTGTATGCGTTGGGTTAGAAGCGGGCCGAGCGCAAAGGGCGGGGTGGTGAGGGAAGGAATGGGGGGTCGGATTAGGCATTGCGGGGTTCTGCGGTGATCGTTTAACTATTTTATAGGGTCTCGGCAACAAGCGTGTGTATGTGGGAGGCGAACACCATGCAGTACTTGACGGTGAACATCAGGCCCCGTTCGGTGGGGCCGGTGTTTCAAGAGAGAACGGCTGCTTCACAGGCGAAAACGCGCTGGTGTGGAAATATCTGGAGATATCTCATCGAGAGCTGTCTGGACATGTGCCAGTGTTGTTCGGCACATGGTAGTAGTAGAGCGGTCGATCTCTGAAAATCTGCCCCCCTAGATAACGCAAATACCGTCACGCGCGGCGGCTTCGACTGTCTACAGCCCGCAACGGGATCCGAACCACCAACTACCACGGAAGTCGAGGAGTTGATCATCCCACCTATCCAAGCTCTCACAAGACCCCAGCTGTCTCCTTAATAAAACAAACCCACCCCAATCCGAGGGGACGACTTGCACAGAACCAAATCAAGAGCGCAGTACGCCCTGGGGTCCCGTGCAATAGTCTCTAAAGAGGTAAACTTACCGAGCGACGTGGAATACGCCGACAACGACCCCGCCGTGCGCGTTCCACCAGAAGAGAGGCCTGCCGCCCGGCCGCCTCTTGTCGAAGACCACCACGTTGCCCGCGCCGGAGCCGGCGGCCACCCACGAACCCTCGCCCTCGCACACCGTGCACAGCCCCACCGGCAGCGGGGCCGCGTCGCCGTTGCGTCTCGACGAGGATCCGTGCCGGTGGTCGCCGCGGCTGCCGTAAGGAAGTGGGGTGTGTCCGGTTCGTTGCGAGCCGTTCGGGCAGTGGCGGCCGAATGAAAGAAGCATGTCATGGGCGGGGTGGCGTGGCGTGTATCGGCGAGCGAGCGAGCCGTTTGCGTTGGGCATGCCTTGAAGGAAGGCTTTACCAAAGGAACGGGAGTCTGTCTGTGGGTGCTCACTCAGGTATGTTGGTACTGGTGAACATCGTAACTCCTGCAGGGACGTGTAAACATTGTCATTAAAACACGTGTATCAACAAAATTCGTAAACGGACGGCATTCGCAAACGAGTAGCACTTACCTCTGACCCTTGCTGGACGGGAGAGCGAGCAAAGACTGCAAACGCGCGTCCACGTCCCACTGCGCCACCGGAAAGACGTCTTGCGCCGTACCTCCCGATCGACCTTGCCTGGATAGTTTGTTGGCAATGGAACAGAGCAGCATGGGCCAGCCAGGAAAGAAGGCACAAAAAACAAACAGTTTGACCTCGACGGCATTAGAGACATGGGATAGACCAAGAGGAACTTAGACAGGTGGGGGGCGGGGGGTGGCACAGTCATAGTCTATGCCAAGAAACTCGAAGTCATGTGTGTTGTGAGTACAACAAGAGGCCATCACCCGGAGGAGTACACCCGCGAGCGGGTCTCGGTCCTCGACACTAGCTCATGATGTTCGTCTGTACCACTACAGCATCGTGGCCGCAACCGTACCCGGTAAATTTCCGCAGACAACTAATAATACCTGATATTTTGCCCAAATCTCGATGCCGTGTTTGTGTGGGAGACAACTATTTGAATATCGCTTCTTCCACGCGGTACTGTAGTAGACTGACAACATTGTACAAGGCGCGAAAGCTCCGCAGCCACAGCCATGCACACTTTCTACGATGCAACACGTTCCCTGTAGCCACAAGAGCATGACAACTGCCAACCAGGCAGCAAAGCCCCAAGCTCCAGCCAGAATAAAAAAAAAGTACAACCAGTTTGACACACCTGCAATCAAAGTGCACGACGCCCCCCCCGTAGGAAGCGGTTATTTGTTGGTCATCAGGAGCGGAGAAACAACCGCTCTCCCCAGGAGACACCTTGTCCCACTCCGAGTCGTCCAGGGGGGGGGTGGTTCCTTCCCCGCACCCGCTCAGCGAGAACGCCGTCAGCGGGGGCGCGCCCTTGTGCGTCCCCTGGTGGCAGATGGCGAGGCCCTGGCTCCTGTCCCATACAGAGCAATATATGCAATGGTTGAATTCAAGAAGTGTGGAATTTTTGGACTTGCTTTCTTGTGGAATTGAGGTATGAATTCCGATAAGTTTTGTAGTGAATTGAAGAATGGAATTTTCGTATATTATTTAGATCGTGTTTTTTTTCGGGATAGCGCAGACTCCAACCCCCAATTTGCAGGGATTTTCACGGGAATGGGCGCGGCTTGATTGCCAAAGGGCGGTGAGCGATTGAAGATTCCGGGAAAAGGTATCGGAATGGGTCCGCTTTGCTTTGCAGCGGGTATAATCCCATAAAGCCCCTTTCAAAGACGATAGAACGATGTCCCACAAAGACGCGGAACAGCAAGCGAAATCAAACACCATGACCGTGGACAAACAGCAAGAGCGCGCGGACATAAAACATTCAACCACTTAGCCTTCGGTCGGAACAAAATGGCAGCAGCAGCAGCAGTAGCAGCAGCAGGCGAACAAGCCGCGGTAGGAAAAACACTTGAGAGATCCACGACGGAATCAGGCTCGAACGCTCCACCCCGAGTCAGGCCACCGATCCAAGCCGGTTACATCCTCGACGCACCACGGCAACCGCGAGTCCTACGGCACGATTCGGCGACCACAAAAACAATCCAACCAACGACCAGCCACACCCTGACCTCTCGACGTCCCAAACGCGGACCAGCCCATCAAGCGCCGCCGCTCGCCCAGAGACTTCGAAAATCCCGAGCTGCGTGACGGCGAAACGCACGTCCTTTCCAGAACCGCCGCCGCCGCCGCCGCCGCCGCTGCCGTCGTTGCCGCCGCCGGAAAAAAAGCCGCTCACGCGAGAGACCGGGTGGTCGCGCAGAGACCACACGCGCACCTCTCCCTCCGCGGATCCCGTGAGCAGGACCGACTCCGACCGCTTTTCGACGGCCATGCTAGTCACCGCGGCCTTGTGGCCAAAAAACGATGTCTGCCGAAGTGTTGGGGAATGAGGGGAAGGGTGGATGAAGATGGGAGGCCCACGTGCAGAAAAAACTGAGAGCATGTGCTGCGTTGTCACGACGTATCGTGATCGCGTATTCAGGGGGCGGGGGGGCGTCTAGCGAAAGGTAGCACCGTTGGGCATAGGCGAGGCGAGACTCAATCAACAGCGCGACTGAACGGCAAAAAAACTACCTGTAAACTCATGTCCAGAGAAAACATAGACCCCACGCTATCCGGCTGAAATCCTTGTGCCGGTTCGCGCCCTCGTCTTTGCCCAGACTCCCCCCACTCCCTGGCACCCGTCAGCCACCCGCGCTCCCGCAGCCGGGGCGCCACCTCAACCCCCACCCCCCAGCACGTGCCAGGCGGTGGGGGGGGCGGGTCCGACGAAACCAGGGGCGCGGCGGCGGCGGTGGCAGGCGGTCTCGCCGGCGCGGACAACGACCTCGTGGGCGAGGTGCCTCGGGACACGAAGGGGGACCGCGGCGGGGACGACGGCAGCGTCCCGTCTTCGGCTCCGGTTGCGACCGCCGTCGCCGTTGCCTCTGCCGTTTCACGACGGATACGAGCGGCCCCGCCGTCGTCGCGGTCGTTGTCTCCCGGCGAACCGGCAAAGGAGACGGGAGCAGCGGCGGCGGCGGCGGCGGCCCGGGAGTGCTGCGAGGAGTCGCTCCTGGCGGTGGGGGAAGGAGCCCGCGACCCGAGGGCGCCTAGCAGAGACGGCCACTCCAGGGAAAGTTCTTCGGACTTGCTGCCGCCTCCATCTCCCGCCTCCGGCGCCGCCGTCCGCGCTTCGCGGCTCCAGCTACGACCGGACCGCCCTTCCCTGCCTTCCCCTTGCGGCTCCCGGTGTTGCCGTCGTAGGCTATCGCTGCCGCCGCCGCCGCCGCCGCCGCCGCCGCCGGCCACCGCCGCGTTGCCACGGCCGCGATGGCTCGAGGAAGCGGGCGGCAGCGCCGACAGGGGCGGTGGCAGAAGCGGGTCGAGCTTCTCAGACGCGTGTCCCCACGCCGGCACCCCTCGTCGCGGGCTACTTCGCGCCTGGCCGCCGCCACCAATCTCGCGGCCGTCTACCGCTCCCTGACCGGTGGAGCTTTCGGTGGCCCCGCCACCGCCACCCGTTGTCCACTGTCTTGGTCGTCGATTTCGGTGTGCACCGGAAGATGGTGAGGCTGCTGCTGTTCCTACCGATGATGCTGTCCGCCAACCCGACTGTAACCACCCGGCGAGACGCTTGGCCGAGGGCGACACGCCGCTGCCACCACCGCCATCTCCGCCCCCGTCCGCGACCAGGCGCTGCTTGATCGCTTGCTGAATCCGATCCGCAACGCCGGAGACTACCTGCACCGCCGTGCTGCCGCTGCCGAAGTGGCCCGGGCTGTACGGGGGCTCCGGCGATTCCGCCGGCGAGATGTACATCCCACCGTCTGTTACAACGGACAAGTCGTCGTGCGGGGCGCCGTGGCCGTAGTCGAGCGCATCTTCTTCGCCGACTTCCCGCGAGGTAAAGACCGAGCCGTCTCTGTCAGCGCCGCTTGATCCCACGAGCTGCTGCTCAGCCTTCCAGGACGACTTCAGCCCCCCGCTGCCGACGACAACAGCGCCGGCGGCGCCGGCGGTGCCGGCCACGACTCCATCGGCTGGACCGGGATGGCCAAGGTGCCACGAATGCTGCTGTGGTCTGGCGGCGGTGTCACCCTCTCCTTCCCGCACCACTTGCCTGAGCGCTGCCAGATCGAAGGCGCTTGCTTCTTCGCCCGCACCGAAGCCCTCTCGAGGAACGGCGGCGAGGGGCTGCCGCCGTTGCTGCTGCTGTGGCGGGTCTCTCTTGGCGTGCACGAGGCTCCCCGTCAGCCACGGGACGCCGCGGCCAGACGCCGAGGGGACACGCCGGCGCATCACGTCGAACCTGCGGGGCGACGGGCAGGCGAACCGCGATGTAGAAGTTCGTCGACGGTGTCGGCGGCGGGTGGGCGGCGGGTAGACAAGACTCGTTGCTAAAGTCAAAGAGGTCTCCGGGTTGGTAGACAAGCGGTCTACGCTCATGAACAAGGAGGAGAACTGCTAGAGAACGAGGTCTTGAGAACCGGAACGGGTCTCGCCCCTGTATACACCGAAAGGCTTATATGCGCCAGCGCTGGCGAGATTCTTGCACTCGCCAGTTCAACAATTTTTGGGTTGTGGTTCGAGGTAGACACGAAACCAAAGCCACAGCGGGTTTCCAGCCCTCAGACAGCACCAAGGCGCTAGGCCTTACTAGGCCTAACCCGCCCCTAAACCCTAACCCAAACCCAACACCCCGAGCTAGGTTGTTCTACAGTGGGTAGGCCTAGGTCGCTGAACCGAGCAACTGGAGCATGAAAGAATCTCGCCAGCGCTGCTGTATATACGCCTCGTACTGTATACACCCAGGGGCTCCGCAGAAGAAGCGGTGCCCGGGGTTTTCTTGCACTTGAAACGAGTTTGCTGAGAGTACTTGCACGTCAGAGAGTTCAGGTACTTATCGAGACCGCGAAAGCTCGTCATCTCCGCCAGGCGCAAGCAAGCATCGGAATCAGCTGGTCACTCACCCAAAAAGCGAAGCGAGGGGCGTGTGCAGCTCTTTTGCAAGCTTCAGCGCCGCCACTATGGTTGGGCTCGAGGGCGACAAGCTGCGGAAACGGTGAATAACAAGGGAATAGAGTAATAAGCAAGGTCTGCAGCTCGAGTCCACACGCGACGTCAAAAACAACGAGGCCCTCACATTACTAGCATCACTCGATGGGCAAAACGAAAAACATCGGATTCGTCTCTTCGTCTCGCGACTTTGTATACGTGTTGAGCCATGGTTCAACATCAACCAGCTAGGCTCGCGCGGAGCCGCTGTGCCCCTGGCCTCGGTTCTCGCGAGGTGCACCCACCCGCAATACAAGCGCCCGAAGTCGGCAAAAAACGTCTCCACCGCCTGCAGCACCATCGAGCACTCCTCTCGCCCCTCTTCCTCCCAGCCGCCGTCCCCGAGAACCCCCATCGCCGTCGTCGCAAGCAACCGCGCCGTTTCCACGTGGCAAACGAAACACGTCGAGACGTCCGCGTCGTCGCACACGCCCTCAGCAGCCCCTCCCGCGGGTTCCCCGGAAAATTCGGGGTGGTTCCGGACGCCGTCGACGTGGACGCCACCTCCACCATCGCCGATGGTAGGGTTCAACAACCCGTCTTCCTGCCGACCCGGTGAGCGTCGGATCGCGGAACGGTCCGAGGAACGGTCCGTCGACAAGTTCGAGTCACGACCTCCCGCTTCTCGGAAGTCGGGCTGCCGCAGCGGCATCGCCAAGAGCAGCCAGGGCACGCTGTGATGTTCGGCTGCCGCTTGCGGCATAACTGCCACCGCCTCGGTGCCGGTGGCATCCGCATGAACGGACGGCGGTGATGACGCTGTTGCTGGCCGCAGGCCAACGTAGAAGTGGGATATCGTCTCGGGGCAGAGCGTGGGTAGAAGTCGCCCGAGCAGAGAGGTAACCTCTAGGACAGATCTTCATGGATATTGACAGGAAAACCAGCAAAGTTGTCGTTTGATCATCGGAGGGACAAACAAAAATAGCAGCGGCGGCGGCGGCGACGATGGCAGCAAGGTAGCGGGGGGGGGCGCGAGAAACACTGCATGAGAAAGAGAGAGGTGCCATGAAGCGTCGGCAACACCGCCGAATCATCGTATCTCGTCATCAAAGCAACCAAGACCACACAAGACCGGCTGAGAAGCCCAGTTCGTTTGCTTCTTTGTGTTGAACTCTCGTCAGCAATCAAGCCGTGACCGGCGGCTGCAAACGTGTTGTAAATGATCACCTGAAGCCCGTTGCCGTCGCGGACGGACTCCCTCGCTGTGCCAGCACGGGCGCCAGACTCGGGAGAACCTGGTGAAACACGCGGCTGAGCACCAGCGGTACCGTCACTTCCTCCGAGCTAATCTGGACGCGCCAGTCGGCCGGAAAATGGGAGGGAAATAAACAATTCGAAGAAAGTAGAAAGTCACAAAATCTACAGTTAAAGCGGTATTTGCAAAGAAAGCTTGTGGCGTGGTGTTGACCGCCATTGTACCCCGCGTGATGATGGGCGTCGTGTTCTCTTAGTCACAGGTAGGCAAAATCAACGCAACACGTCGATAAGAGAGCCATCGAGCAGAATTTCGACGTTTGACACCAAGAGTTCAGAGAAGCTGCAGAAGTCCCATGTTTTTGTCGTTCGATGTTGTACCCCAAACGCACACCGTGATTGCGCACCCCGATGCACGAGGGAAACGCCTTCGGGTCCAACGAGACAGCTAACCGCCCGCCCGTGACGCAAGTCGCGCGGGACATGTTTGCCGTGGTCTCGTAAGTTCACCCGCCCCTTACAAGGAGTAGAAGAAGACAACAATCTCGGGTATGATAGAGCACAGGTGAGCTGCCAAAAACCTGGCGGTAGGCCATGGTTGTCCGATCGCCACTCGACCCGTGCCCTGCTACGCATTCCGTTCGCTTCATGCCGACGGTTGCTGCCGGCTTGTTTGCCACCAAAAACTACCACAAGCTACAGCAGTATCTGCCTTTTCGCCAGGCCCCAGCTCCCACCCCCCCGGTGTTTGCCATCGGGGTTGGGTTTTCGTCGCTTGGCA